TCTCTGTCTCTTTCTCATTACTGTTGAGTCAGAACTGAGTCAAAGCTGACACTCCCTGATCTTCTGAAGCTGTAAAGTGCGATAAGAGGAGATTGTTCATCCTTTATCCCACGGATCCATTGGTTGATTTGAACCATCGGAGCAGAGTCTTTGGTTAGCAGTGTAACATCCACCAGACTACACCACCAGAGCTACCCCTTTTTCTGTCTAGGATCTACAAATGCTTTCAGTGTAGTAGTTAGATAAGTACAACCAGCTTCTCTGAGAACGTTTCTTAGGGGTTGTGATGACATCCTGATCAGAGGATACTTGCTGAGAGATGCCGAGAAGTATGTAAAGTATAGCCAGACTGTTGAAGATCTTAATTGCCAATACAGAAGTCATGAGTGCAATTGTGAGTGTATAGTATTTTAGAGCAATTCCTTAGACAAGGTGAGTAGAACACAGTACAGGATAGTTTAGAGAGAAGAAACCGAATAATATGAAGTCCAATGAGACATTAGAAGACTCAGGTGAGGCATGACATACATTTACGTGCACAAAGCTACCATCCAGAGCTACCCAGCACTGGTTACACAGGCTGTGACAGATTAGAAACAGCCCAGCTGTCTGATGTTGCTGCATTGCTTTTCAGTTGTGTTTCATATCATGCTGACATATGAAACCGTTTTAGCACAATTTCTTTTAAACGGCAAGAAAGAGAATAAAACGTGAATAGAAAGCACACTTTATCATGCTCTCTTCTTTGCCTTGTAACATTACTTACTACTGCAGCCTAATCAGTAATTCTGGATTGCCTGAAGAAACAATCTTCACTCTGTCTGCTTTCACTCACACTGACTCTGATAAGACTCAGGGCAGTGTTCTCTGTCTGGAGACACCTTAGAGTGAGTAGAGAAATAACTGACAATAATTGCTAAAAGGAGATTTGAAAACTCATCCTTCTTTGAGGAGTACAGCGGTGATACTTTGAACCCTGTACTAGCCTAATTCTCATAGTTGTTGTTGTTGTTGTTGTTATGTGCCATCAAGTCACCTGCAACTCATAGCGACCCTATGTACAACAGCCCTAAACTCCTCTCTGTCCTGTGCCAATCACATTGTCTCCGACACTCCCATCCCAATTACCCCAGTCACTGAATCAATCCACCTCATAGAGGGCCTTCCTTTTCTGCGCTGTCCCTCCACCCTCCCAAGCATGATGTCCCTCTCTAAGGACTGGTCTCTCCTCACAACATGTCCAAAGTATGTTAGACGGAGCCTCAGAATCCTTGCCTCCAAGGAGCCACCTGGTTTAACCCTTTCCAGGACAAATCTGTTTGTTTTCCTAGCAGTCCATGGTATTCTCAATACTCTTCTCCAGCACCACAGCTTAAAGGCATCAATTCTCCTTCTATCCTCCCTGGTCATTGTCCAACTCTCCGATGCATAACAAGTGATTGCGAAGACCATGGCCTGTATCAGATGCACCTTAGTCTCCAGAGAGACATCATCGCTCTTCAGAACTTTGGAGAGGTCCCTAACAGCATGGAATTCTTGTATTGATTGCCTTCAAGTTGAGCACAACTCATAGCAACTCTATGAACAAAAGGCCTGAAGCCGCTTTACAACTATCGACATTTATCAAAGTTCATAGAGTTTCTGGAGGGATGGTTTTTTTGGGAAGTGGATTCCACTCCTGAGCAGGTGCATGGATTTCTTAGTATAATGTCAGTCAAGTGTATATATTATGGTTTAGGGTATTTAAACATAATGGTAAAAAAAAGTGAAAGATTTGGGGTTACTATTTTGCTTGGACTACAGAGGAGCTTAGCATGGTGGGGTTAAAATAATTTTGATTTGGTTTGATAGGTGAGAAATCCCAGAGGTCAGAACTTTAACTGCAAGAGGGCTCTCTGGAGGGAAGGAATGGGATCAGGGAACCAAAGAGCTTGAGAGGAGGTGTGTTGACCATCCCAGGGAGAAGTCACAGAAACTGAAGCATGTTCTGATCTCCTGACTTAGACAAGAAACCTGAGGAAAGAAGTAGAGATAACCTCTAAATCCTTTGAGGTTTCCTGGCTTACTCCTAAGCCTCTCTTCATCTAGAAGATTAAAGTGACTAAAGAGAATATTTTTTTTCCCCTAAAAGAGTTTTTTCCCCAAAAACTAATGCTTGTTAAATTACTGATTACATGAATTTTAGAAAAATAGTAATTATACAAATGTATCTCTGTAATGGAAAAATACTGGTGTCAATTCAGTACTACAATAAGCTATAAAAAATAGTGCATTTAAAAAAAATAAGAATATTGCATTTTTAAGTGGCAAGAAAGGAACCCTGGTGGCACAATGGTTAAGCAGTCAGCTGCTAACTGAATGATCAATGGTGGTTCCAATCAACCAACAATTTTCCAAGAGAAAATATCTAGTGATTTGCTCTTATAAAGATTATAGCATAGAAAACCCTATGAAGCAGTTCTCCTTTGTCTCATAGGTTTGTTATGAGTTGCAATTAGCAATTAGCAGTGCACACTAACATAAAGAGGCCAAATATTCATATACTATGGACTGTTAGAAGAATAAACAAGTTCATCCTGGAGAGGGTGAAACGAGACTGCTTCTTGGAGGCAAGGATTTGGAAACTCCGTCTGACATACTTTGGACATGTTGCAAGGCAGGACCAGTCCTTGGAGAGGGATGCCATGCCTGGGAGAGTGGAGGGACAGCGCAGGAGAGGAAGACCCTCAATGAGATGGATTAACTCAGTGACTGAGGTAATGGGGGTACATGTATCAGAGACAATAAGGTTGGCTCAGGATAGAGCAGTGTTCAGAGCTGTAGTACATTAGGGTCATTGTGAGTCACAGGCTACTTGACGACACATAACAACAACTAGTTATTCTTCTATTTTACAATTATGGTCTTATGTGGTATTCATATTAACAATAACAACAACATTCATTGTTATATGAATATAAAAAAGGATTTTATTTGGAATTTTACCAAATTTGAAGCTGTTCCAGATGATTTGGTTGCTATGGAATAGAAGTAAAATCTAGTTTCGTGACTGACAGGGAGCATCTTAAAGAAAAAACAAATCTTTTGAGTGGGTGTAGATTCTGATTTGCCAAGAGGGTGTTTTTCCAATGGTCAAATCTATGTAGTGTATGTTAGTATGAGTATCAGCAGGGAGTTGCTAATTGAGATATAGATAATTATTCTCCTGAGCAATGATGTGTTGTTTAACTAGTGTCATACTGTAACATATGAGCTATTTTATGTCTGTTCAGTATGCTACACTGTTACTGCTGAAGAATCCAATTTTGAATAAGAGTAACATTAGTATTTTTCACACCAGCTCTGCTGGCTTCATGGTAAGGAGCTGTGCTGCCAAGCCAAAGGTACACAGTTTGAATCTACCAGCTGTTCTAGGGGCAAGCTTGTCCCTTGCAATTCACTGCCTCTGAAAACCTGTTGGAGGATGAGCTATGACTTGGTTCTGACTCAATAGTGAACTCAACAACAACAGTTAATAAGAGATGTCAGAAAAAGCCAAAGGTTGTATACACCATAATATTTCTTTTATGAGGACAAAATGAAGAAGAGTTTTAAGAGAAAAGAACAAACATTAAGGTTTCATCACATATGTTAACATTTTAAATTAATTAGACATTTTCAACTTTGCATCATAGTTCTGTTCTAAAATCCCATTTAAAGTTCAAATGGAAAACACATGTTCTTAGGCGATTCTGTGGAAAGACGGTATGTGACATTTTCTTGATTATTTGGTTTTTAATTTCCCCAGCTTTGCAAATGGTGCATTGTGTATAATTTTGAAAGGTTCTTGTTTGTAGTGTTCCAAATCTTAATCTTTGCTTTCATCTTTACTGTGAGACCACCAGTTTTTCATCACAGTTTATTGGAAATGGGGAGGCTACTGTTCAACTTAAAATGTTTTCATGTTGTCACTGGACAAAACTTGTCATCTTAACTAATCTTTCAGAATACTACTTGGAATAATTTTGTCTATGAAAAATACAAAGAAGAACACAGAATAAAGGCTAAGAAGACAATCCAATACAAATATTCCTCTTAGTTTAAAATACATTTCATAAAATCTGGCATACATTATGTAATTTCTTTTGAACTTTAGTTCACTTGAATTATCATAGCAATTAGCTTCATAACCAGAGATTGAATATGGAGCTTCTAATTTATTTTGGTTTAGTTTACTTTGGTCCTAGACCAAAATGATCACAGTATGGGTTGGCTAATTACCCCCTTTTCCCACAAAGAGTACCCAGAGGCACTGATTTTGCCCTTATCCAACTCAGAGGTGGGTATACAGTGAGCACTCAATAAATGTGAAATTAAAAAAATGAAGAAGATATCTTTCAAAAAATTGAAGGAAGATGCATTTTAAAAGATTCTAGCAAAACTGTTCAATGAAGTCAACATGGGGCTGCTATCATGCAAACCTCATTTTCACTAACTTCTCCAGATAACTGAGGAAAGCCAAGATGACCTTTGACTCTAATCATTAATCCAGAGTAAAAACAAAACATACATTTCAACCTGTACTATAGATATCTGGGCTCTGAGTAGCATCACACTGAAAAGATAACGGAAATGAAAGTAAAGTTCATTTTAATAGCTTTTAGGACTCAGTAGTATTCTCTCTGGCAATTGAAACTTAAAGTCCAATGATTTTCCCAAGACTATCTACCCAACCATCAAACACAAGGCAGGTATGAGAAACCAATTAATGAAAGGCCATGATTTTGAAGACTCATTTCCCAAATACCATTTGGTCAACAATGAGTTAGAAAATTAAGTGTAGCATTTAACAAATTATGAGCATTTAAAATGCCATTGAGTTTTTAAAGGCAGAGAAGGTCGAGCTCAAGAAAAACACAGGCTAATAATATTCCAAATGCTAGAGCAATCTGAGTGACTCTCTTACTGTGGAATCGGAACATACATTCAAACCAGCAAATACATCTGTGCTTGCTTCTTACCTTAAATACATTGATAGGGAGATCAATGACCACATAGATGAGGTCTCCAAGGGCCAGGCTGGCTATCAGTGCGTTAGGGCCATTCCGCATACACTTGTTCTGGTAAATGATCCTGAGCAGAGTTGCATTCCCCACCATTCCCACGATGAAAATAGTACAAGATATCACAGTGTTAATGTACTTGAAAGCTGAAGTAATTTTAGTCTGCTGAGGGCAATAGTTATGCCTTGAGCTGTTGCTGGGTAAGGCCAAATTAGTGGGTCGGTGGGTAGTAACCAGTAAGCTGAGCTCTGTCCCATGAAAAGTGGTGAAATCATCCACAAAATCACTTAGATTTTTGCTGTATCTTTCAGGATTATCACTTATCACACATCCAAACATTGCCAGCCAGAAGGACACTCTGAGGCAAAAGGCTTCCATCTTGATGCAGATTTGAGGAGATGTCTCTTACTGTCTTACTTTTAGACACACTCTTTTTGGGGGGTTTTCCAACCTGGAAAGAAAAGAGGGGGCATAATGTTGGTTACAATATCCAACTGTCAATAAAACCATAAAAAGCCAAGTTTATTAAATATCAGGATATATTAGATAGTTAGGGAAAATCTATCTATGTCATAGGTTACCCTATGTCAAAATAAAACCAGAAAAGGCTCTGGGTCTATTATGGCTATGGGTAGAGTCTCTCTCTAAATCGCTCTCTATGTATCTATTCGTGTATCTCTTTTGAAATATATCTCTATAGCATTTTATCCATAACTATACCTATATCAAGATCATAAGTACATAGATACATTAGTTTTTCTTTAAAGTATAAGATTAAAAGTTATTTCCAGCAATATCCAAATTAATAAGCTAAATTATAAAAACCTTCAAGAGACGAGATATATTTTATTTGCTAATGAAAGAGAAAAGGTACAACAAACCAAGTAAAAGTTACATGGTAAGAGCATAAAATAAAAGTACCAAATTCCACAATGAGTGCAATATCCCATAACGGGTGCTATTTTTCAAGTAGCAAACAAAACGCAGCATATGTAATCACCAGAAGTATTACACAAGGTAGTTTAACATTTAATACAATATATAAAGGATAGCCAAAAATATTCAAAGTAATTTTATTGAAAATCTTGAAGATTAATGTGTAAAATCAACAGCTCCCAACAGAAATGTTTACTTTTCCGTTCCTCAAACATTGTCCTCATAATTTTGCCACAGTATGAAACAAAACCGACCCAGAGAAATGACCAATCTTTTAGACTATTGGACTTAACTAAGGTTTATCCATGCTCATAATGTATTTTAAACCATCCTATACATCCACATTCATTATGTGGCATTCATTTTGTTGAGCATTTTGCATGCATAGAGACTAACACATGTAACGCGCCTGTGAGGCTGACACATCTGTTCAGCAAAACCTAGGAAACAGAGGCTCAGAAAGGTGAAGCAGTTCGTCAAAACCACAGGTGGCAGTGGGTGGGTGGCAAGGCTGTAATTCTAAGCCAGGTCAGACTGACTCAAAAATCTGAGGTATTAACCACTGAATCATACTGTCTCCCATCCTCACAATTTTTTATTAGCACCTAAAAGGCTTTAAAGAAGTCTTTAGAGATTAAATGAAACAGTGGACTTAGGAGGGGATTTTCTTTTGATCCTTTGCAGAGAGTCTATCCCCACTTTTTGAGAAGCCAAAGTTTCTACCTCTATCTTTAAAGAAAAAAATGTTGGGGAAGTGAGGGAAGCTGACAGTAACAGAATAATCACAGGTAAATGAAAATGGCTCTCCTAGTTTCAATATTCTGTACATTTTATTACATGAAGACTCCAGCTTCATTTATGGGATGGTTTGTGTCTATAGATATGCCATATATATAACCAGTCCATAATTTATTGAATTAAAGAAATAAAAATTGTGTCCTTTTTCTGAGCCTAATCATATCCAACATTAACTCTTTCAGGATTTTTTAATGGTTATCTTGGGAAATGATTAGCAGAATTCATGGTTAGTCAATATTTGGATGAAATAAGATATATGTAAGTTGTATATAATTTATATGGTAAAGATAAGGTGAAACCACATATTATTTTTTTCTATCGAGTCCCCTTCATGATACCCAAAATAATAATAGCATCTTACACATACAATCATTTTTATATATATGTAATATATAACAAAGCATTACACATATAAACTATTATATACATAGGTGCTATTTGAGTTTTAAACCGTTCTGGTGGCATAATTGTTAAAACATTTGACTGCTAACCTCAAGTTCGGCAGTTCAAAACCATCAGCTGCACCGTGGGAGAATGATGAGGCAGTCTGCTTTTACAAAGATCACAACCTTGTAAACCCTATTCTACTCCGTTCTATAGGTTGACTGTGAGTTGGAATTGACTTGAAGGCAGAGGGGTTTCTGTTTCTTTTTTTTTAATCTGTGCTTTACAATTCCAGATAGGTAGCAGTGATAGCCCCATTTTACCCACGAGTAAACTAAGTCTTGAAGATTTGACTTGGTTAAGGTTTCAATATACAAAAATTGGCTACCAGTTGCCATTGAGTTGACTGCAATTCATGATGGCCCAACATGTATCAAAGTACGATCGAGCTCTATAGACTGCCAGACACCTCTAAGGGGACTCAATCCTCCAATCCTTCAGCTAGCTGCTTAGCATGGTAACTCTGTGTATGAGCCAGAAGCTCTGGCTGGGTAGAGCCTGCCTTAACTTTACTTACATAGCTTGACTCAGTCTGGTTAAATGATAAAAATATCAGATGTTCAAAACTAAGGGCATATCATAAAGCTGTCATTTCAATAAAACTTTGCTGTAACTAGTTTGCAGATGATCCTCCCTCCCCCTTTCTTATATAATCCAGGTTATATGACTGTATATAGTTAGAGCTACAAATTGCCATATTTTAATTCCAAAACAGAGAACAGGACTTCAGGATCAAAGCATATTTTGATTGTTCTCTTTAGATCATAGATAGGGGAAATTAGAAACACTTCAATCTCTTGTACCATTTAATGACTAAGCCGCCCAGTTTCTCAACTGAAATGGAATCCTCCATAATAATTTCCTCTAGAGAAGAGAGAAGACCCTCTTCCCCCCATCATCCCCCTTCCCAGAAAGAACGGCTCTTAGGCCATTAGAATCCACTAGGAGGATATTTAGCTAATTGGCCTTATACATTGCATAATACTCCATCAACGGTGTCCTTAGCGCTTTGAGCATTAGCATAGATGGTTTACTACATCAATTGATTACAGCAGGAGCTGCCAGAGAGTTGAGTCAAGGTTTTTTTAGGCTCTTATCATGATGTGAATCAGCTACCAATTAAAAACAATCTCATTCCTCCCTCCAACAATGAGACCTCCATAGAAATCACTTCTAATGACATGTCCACCAACTCTCTACACGTATTTAGCTGTTATCTCTGTAAGAGATTCTTGGCAAAATCTTGTGGCCACACTATGCATCATTGCTAGGTAAAAGATACAAAACTCTCAAATATTATGTTCCGCTGAGAAAGGGATTGTAGCATCTCTGTGCATGATATGCTTCAAATAATTAATCATAATCCTTGTGAAGCATTTAAAATTCGGACTTGAACAACGTTTTCTGTAGACTAAGCATTCCTCATATTTGGAGTCTAAAAGTTTGTTGGAGCTCAAAAGCCATTATTAAGAAAGAAAGTGGAATCCTTAAACTCAAACACTGGGTTTTCAGAAACAAAGGTTACCTGTAATTAATAATTTGGAAATTCCAACTTTGCAAAATCACATAAGGGTCTGAAGCAAGTAATTTATACTACAGGATTTCCAAGGCTTAAAACACTAAGAAAAAGTGGAGTAGGGGGAACTCACTCACAAAAAAGGATGCTAAATAGAGAAATGCAGGTTCTTTGTACAAGTTTTCGGTGGGTCTGGCTGTCTGGGGAAGAATTATCAGTTCTCAGAATTGATACGTTTCCACAGCCCCCAGCTCTTATCAGAGGATCGCCATTAGGATGGTGCAAACAGGCTGATAAGCTTGAAACTGCCCTAGTTTTCTGTAACAAGGACCTTTAAGTGAGAAGCAACAAGTGACCTTTAAAGGAGAGCACAGAACAAAACGCTTAGACCTCCAGAGGCCGATTTCCAGGAGTATTTGTACAGAGGGATTTTTTTAAAAACCTCCACACCGAATACCCCAGGCATGTAGTGAGCAGAAGCAAAGAGAGAAGTAGATTGAGGAGCCAACTTCACAATTAGACGTTGGAGCAAGTTACATCTGTGGCCGTGATGTCCCTCAAAGTTCTTGCATGTTTAGGAAAGAGAGAGACCCAAATAGAGCTGTGAATCTTCTCCTTCCTGAAAATCAAAATCACGCCAGTGGAGGCAGAGGTGCTTTGGATCAGTTCCCAAATTCCTGGAGCGCACCCCTCCCCAGGAGAGCGCCGGTCTCACCAAACACCCTTCACCCTTGGACAGATGGATGCCAACCTTTGCTTCGATGGATACCTCAAGCTGCCAAACCGCCCTAAAAGAGGAGCCCAAACGGTGTCACTGCCACCCTTACCAGAGACCCCCAAAAGAAAAGAGTTTCACTGACCTTGGAGCCTGGCGGGTGCAGATGGCTTCCCAGTGTGCGCACAGCGCCCGGACAAGAGAAGCCGGCAAGGCGAGGTTGCGTGGCGCGGAGGGTGTCCGGGGCTCTGGCGCAGCTGCGTTCTTTTTGGAAAACTTCCTCTGTATAGCTAGCTCCTCTAGGGAGGTCTGGCAGAACCTCCAGTCTCCAGGCGACAGCGCGGGATTGAGCCTCTCCACAATCCCCAGGCCAGAAGTGTGACTCTGTGTGTGTGTGCGTGCGCGCGCTTGCGCTTGCGAGGGCTTGCAAGACAAGGAAAACTCCAAAGGAACACGCCTCCTTGTCTGTCTTCCAGGCAGTATCCAAAAGCTTCTAGACCTTCTACTCCACTCCAGGATAGCAAAGCCTTCTCATGGTCCAGCCCTCCAAGGAAACTGCCTCTATAAAACACAGAGTTGCCGCCCCCTCTCAAGCCCTTGAAGGGTAGAAGTCTTTTAACTATTTCCTTTCTGAAATGAAGGCAGGATGGGGGAAATAGTTTGACAGAGGGTGTCTGAACACAGGAAGACCATTGAGAGAAATCTGTCCTCTTTGTTATTAATGCGGCCGATTTGATCTGTGATGGCACACTTGGAGACAAAGCCAGGGACCAGGTGCCATGTTGCCTACCCCTTTGCCTGATTCGAGGGCCAAAGCAGACACCAGCTCTTTGGAACGTACACTATGAACAACAGATCAGCAAAAGAAAGGAAGACCATAAATGAAACGGATTAACACTGTGACTATAGCAGTGACATTAAGTATGTCAGAGATGATGAGGATGGCATAGAACAGAACAAAGTTCAGATCTGTTGTGCATCGTGTCACTATATGTTATGCTTGACTCAAAGGCACAGTCTGCTGCTA